TGGGTTCTGGGCTCTGGAGTTGGTACTTTGGGGTTGATGGAGCAGGTGAGTCCCCCTGTGCTCCACGGAGGTGTGGGATTGTTCGTGGAGCTGGGACAGGCTCCCTGCTGCTCTTTACATCATGGGGACAGTGGGATGAGCTCAACAGGCCTGTCACAGGCAGCTGTGGTTCCTCAAGCTCTGTGCCTTGGGATGGTCACAACCCCATCCTTGGGCAGGGTGTGCTCCAGGTTACCTTTGCACCCGTGGAGTTACTGGCACAGACACTTGGCTGGGACACGTGTGCTCAGGGGAGTTCCCTGGCACAGGTCAACCCCGAGCTGGGAGATGCCTTTCCAATCCAGCCCTGCTTTCCCTGCAGCCTGGGGGTTCTGTCAGAGGGGCCATCCTGGGATTTTGGGCAGCATCCATTTCGATCACCCCTCAGGTCCATTCCCATCCCAACGTGTCCGGAGCATTCCCTGATGTCTGGCGGCAGCACAGAGGTGTCATATCCAGATGATGTGGCCTTGTGCTGGCAATTCCTTCCTTGTTTTCTGTCTGGAATGGTTGTGGGTCTCTGGGTTAGTGACAGATCACAAGTCTGCATTCTCTCTTTGCTTTTATCATGTAGCCTGTTGCAAACTGGGAGAAACGGTTTAAATAACTCCAAAAATGAATTTCAGTGAGCCCGGGGCTGTGCTGGGCTGCTGTGCCCAGACAGAGCTCCCAGAGCAGATCAGCTGCCCCAGCCCATGGGCTTCTCCATGGGCTTGATGCCTCTGAGGTGTGTCCTGCTCTGTGTTCCCTCTTTGTCCAGGCTTTCCAAGGAAACACTTCGGCAGAGCAGGCATGGAATTGGTTTTCATTTGAGCCCAAGGGAGGAGGGGATTCAAAGGAAAAGAGGAATTGTGGCAGTGACAGAGCATCTATCTTGCTTTGCAATCTAAACCTTAAATCCAAATTGAGCTTAGATTTATTCTGAGTATGAAATCTGATGGATTCCTCCTGTGGTGCCCTTGGGAGGTCACTTGGCAGGGCAGCTGGGCACTTGTGAGAGGTCCCTGAAATCTCTTTCTGTCTCCCATGAACTGCTCCAATTCCATTTGATTTTACAGATTGGGGTTCAGAGATTGGGGCTGTCATTGTTTAAAGTTTCTGTGACCTGCTGTAGGAGGGTTTGTCTCACACAAAGGTGGGTCTCTGGCCAATCTCTTTCCTTTTGGGCTGTGGTGGGAGCCATAAAATATTTGGAACTGGATTTTTTTTCTGTTTCTGAGCCCAGTTTGGCATTTCAGTGGATGTTTCCTTGTTAATTTGTTTTGCCTCCTGGAATCTCCTTGTCCCTGCACAGGCTGATTTCCCCACAGGGAGCCAAGTGTCCTTGCTGTCCCCTGCATCCAGAGGTGGATGAGGGGCTTGGAGGAACCCCCTGGATTTGAGGACACGTGACTTCAAACACGGTTGTACTGCACGGGAAGTACAAGGTGGCCTTGGAAACCCAAGTGCTCTCAGGGGTGTTGTGTAAAACCCCAGAAAGCCTCCACTGCAGTGGGATGGGGTGGGATCGGGGTCCCTGGGATGGGGAATGAGCCAGACCTGGAGCTCTGCTGGCTTTGCTTGTGTTGCTGCTGCAGCTCTGGGATGAGCTGCTCTCCCACGAGGGGACACTCTGGGAATTCACTTGCCTCTGGAAAAAAACCCTTTTTACCAGTATTTTATACACAAAGGAGTGGGGGTGGGACATGATGTGATTCATGTGATATTCTGTGAATAAAGATTTTTTTTTTTCAGCCACGATGAAGGTTTTTTACCTTGACCAGCACGTTGAGGCCCAGATAAACCAGCAGGACCAGTTTGGGGCTGTCAGGAGCCCTGTCCCAGCTCAAGGGGAAGGGAAGTTCCCAGAAGGTGGAAGCAGGATTGGCCAGCTCAGAGTGGGATCGATGCTGCTTCGGGGTCAAAGCCAGGGAGGGTTGGGAGGGGCTTGTAGGAATTCTTTGGTAGCAAAAGGAGCCAAAGGCCCCCAGGGATGGGGCTGATGATGCAGGTTGGGGGCCGGGAGACCCCCTGTCCTGCTGCCCCTTCTCTGGGTTCTGGTTAAGAGCAGTGAAGGAAGAACCTGGAGGGCAAAATGGGGCTGTTGATAAAGAGATTGTGGATTTCAAATGTGAGATCAAGGGGTTGGATTATCTTCCTCTTGCTATTAATTTCTGTTTTGAAATAATTCCAGTCCCCCAGAGTTACAAAACACTTACTAAATAAGAAAATATCCAGCAAAGAATGCAGGAAGTCGTCAGTGCTGTAGGTCTGAAGGGGGTGCAGAGATGGGACGGGTCTGCTCCATGTCCCTTCCAGGGCCCCTGAAGGGCTTCGATCTCTGTTTCTCTTGGGTTTTACTCCTCTGTCCCTTTGTTTTTTAAAAATAATAATAAAAAATAATAGTTTTAATTATTAAAGTTAATTAACGAGTCCTTATCTCGACCCACAAGTTTTACTTTTGTCCCCTTCGTTGCCCCCGATCCCTGCCGGGGCAGGGAGGGAATGGTTGTGGGATGTTCTGGGTGGGGTTAAATCAAGACAATTAAACCTGAGAGGGAAAAGCTTTTGAAACAAAGAAACCAATCGGGTGAGTATTTGAGCAGTTAAAAAGCGTGAAATGGGGGTACAGTATAGAATCGAGAGGGAGATAATGGGTGATAAAGATGATGGTTGGGTGGGACAGAATTAATTTAGAAGGAAGATAGTGCAGATAAGCACCGGAGGATGTTTGGAGTTGGCCGGGAAGCAAAGCCTGCTCTGTGCCTCTCCCCTTACGCTGATTCCTCATGTTAACCCCGGAATGTCCGAGTACAAGGCGGGGGGGGGGGGGGGGTTAAAAACGTCCTTTAGTGCAAAACACAACCCAGGACTAGAATAACAACGCTGGGTGTCTCAGCTCGGGGAGAGAGATGTCTCCCCTGGTCCATAACAGAACCCACAGGTGGAGGTGTCACAGAATCCCAGGATATGCTGAGTTGGGAGGGACCCACAAGGATTGCCAAGTCCAACCCTCGGCCCTGCACAGGACAGTCCAGGAGTCACACCGTGAGCCTGAGGGTGTCGTGGTTTCCCAGTCTCTGCAGAGGGTGCTCCTGCCCTGCTCTTGTCTCCCAAACTTGCGGGGTGAGAAGCCTTTCCCTCCCCAGCCCCTCAGCTCTCTGCACTCACCGGCTCCAGGTGCTGCAGTCCCGAGGGATTCCTGGCATCTCGAGGGATTCCTGGCATCCCGAGGGATTCCTGGCATCCCGAGGGATTCCTGGCATCCCGAGGGATTCCTGGCATCCCGAGGGATTCCTCCTCCTCCCAGGCATCGTTGGGCTCCTGTTCCACAACTCTTGGTTATTTCTGTGCCTCCTCTTAGAGGTGCAAGGCCAAGAGCAAAGGAGGGGGAGGGGGGAATAAACCAGTGGCGAGATCAGAGAAGAACAATAAGTCATACCACGGTTCTGGAAATGGGCAGGAGAAACTACAGCCCACTGGGAATGGAAATGGTACCAGAATCCAAAAATATAGGGCAGGGATATTGTCAGGGATATTGTCAGAGACCTTGGCTGTCTCTGCTGCCCTGGGCCAGGATGGAATCTCTACAGCAGGAGCAGAAAAGCCAAGGCACAGATGGAACAGGACTTGGCAAAGGACACAGGTCAGAATGGAAAAGCCAAGGAGAGATTACGCTCCTGATAAACGAGAAGGGAGAACTGGTGGCAACAGATGGAGAGCTGGGGCTGTTCAACCTGGAGAAGCTCCAGAGACCTTAGATCCCCTTCCAGTGCCTAGAGGGGGATAATGAAAGAGGGAGAGGGACTTTTTACACAGACAGACACTGACAAGGAGGGGAATGGTTTTAAACTAAAAGAGGAGAGATTTAGATTAGATGTTAGGAAGAAATTTCCCTGTGAGGGTGGGGAGGCCCTGGCACAGGTTGCCCAGAGAAGCTGTGGCTGCCCCTGGATCCCTGGAAGTGTCCAAGGCCAGGTTGGACGGGGCTTGGAGCAACCTGGGCTAGTGGAAGGTGACCCTGCCTGTGGCAGGGTGTGAAACTGGGTGGGCTTTAAGGTCCCTTCCAACCAAAACCAGTATTGGTGTGACTCTGCATCCCATCAGCTCCTGCCAAGGAACACATCCGGTCTCCAGGGAATGGGGGGAAAGCTCCAGTGATGCACAACCTGCCCAGCACAGGAGACTGAGGGTCTAACACAGGAATGTCACATCAAACTTCTCCCTCTGTCACTCTGGAGGTGCCCTGGGACACGCTTTAAAAATACTCTGTGGTAAATACAAAACACCCAGAGGGAGCCAAGAGCCCAGTGATATCAGGATTTTAAACATTCCTCACGCTGGAGGGTCACCCTGGGGTTTACACCCTGCATTCCCAAAGCACTGCAGGAACACCACAGCCATGGCCTTCCTGCCCTTCCCAGGCAGGGGCACGTGCAGGACATGCCCAGGAGGATACAGGATTTCAGCTCTCTGGGATATGGGATCTCAGATCTCAGAGCTCTGTCTCAGGTTGGCTGCACCCACCCTACACACCAAGCCCCTTCTCATGGTCCCCCCCAGTTCTTGTGGCCTGGGGATGTTTGAAGTCACAACCATGACCTTCCAAGCCCACCTGGTCCTTTCCAGAAAGGCTGGGCTACTGGATTCCCCCAGGGCTGGGATAACAATGTCCCTCCTGGGAGCAGGAGCACCTGGAGCTCATCCCCTCCCAGGACAGACAAGGGTGAGCCCCAAGAGCAGGAGCACCAGGCTCTGTGAGGCTTTCACCCACTGGCAGTTAAAGGAGCTCAGGGTAATGGGGCCCAATTATGGCATTTACCTGTAAAATTGTAGTGCTCTGGCCCACAAACCCTGCAAATAAACCACTGCTGCCAAACCAGAAACAATCACAGCTGGCATTTGTCACCACTTTCATTCCAAGTGACAAAAAATAAATGAAGGCAAGGTGGACAGCACTTACTGACTCACAAGAAAAGCAGTCCCAGAACACTTACAGTGTTTTTATTCTAAATTGCCAACAAGAACCTTGACAGAACTTGATAGAATTTTAAAAGAATCCCAATTTTGCACAACTTCCCCTACTTAAAATCACTCATTTCTTCACCTCCCCCCCTTAAAACCCATCACCCCTTCCAAAGGGTTCTGCTGCTGTTTCCCAGTCTCTGGAGGAAACAGAAACAGCTTCCCAGATCATCACCTGCTATTTGACAGGTGGAACAACGGAGACTTGCCTGTTTTTCCTTTTCAGGGGGTGTTAACAGGGCCTGGGTTTGAGTAGGAAAGGTTTCTGAGTACCTGTTAATTAATCAGTCTATTTATTTAATAAAATTAACCAAAGTCACCAACTGAAGGTAAATTAATCACTTGGGGAAACCTCTGGTAACCAAGGACAGTTTCACATGTCTAAACGTTGCAAGAAACATGTTATGCAGCAAAAGCCAAGTGTAGAGAGTCCTGCCACCAGGTCCAGAGCAGGTCTGTCATCTACAGGAGCTCTCCTGTCCCAGACAGGGAGGCACTTCCTGCTGGGAAAACACCTTCCAGAGGGATGAGATGTCAATACTCCAAATTCTGGAAAGGACAAGATACATTTTTGGCACGAGATGGTGAAAGACACAGCAATTTCCCCCACTCCCCCAAGGGACAGTGGCCCTTGCAGAGGCAGCACTTGTCCCCTTGGCAACAAGGCCTGTGGTGAGTGCAGAGCCCCTGCCTGTGCAGGAGCCGTGCCTGCAGTGCCCTCAGAGCACTGGCTGGAGCTGCTCCCAGGGGGAATCAGTGCAATCATTCCTCAAAGTATCTTTAAGCTGTTGCTTTGCTGCTACTGGCAACTACTAGTCAGTGTGATTTCAGCACTGGACACTTCCACCCAGGAAGCTCCTTCCCAGGTGGAATTTGAGAGCTTTTCCCCCCAGTAGTGCTGGTTTAAGCAGCCTCAGTTCTGGCTTAGCTGGGCCTGACAGTGAGCAGAGCACAAAGCAAGGAAAGTTGGGTTTAAGTCAGGGGGAGGGTGCAGGGTGAAAGGGGATGATGGAGATGGTGTGGAGAGGCTTGTTTAGAGAGACAGAGCCAACATGGCCAAGGAGTGGTGCCTTAACTTGGATCACAGGAATGGAGGGCTGGGAAGGACAGGGAAGAGAGAACACACAACACAGGATGCATCCAAGAAAGCACACAGAGGATGATCCAAGCAGCAGATTCCCTCAGAAGCTGCTCTCAAGAGGCAGGTGTTCAATACAACCCCTCCTGTCCATGGGAGCCACAAAGCAGCAGAGATTGCAGGAGCTGCCCCAGCTCTGGAGGTGACACAGGTCAGTACTCACAGCCCTGCAGGACACGGTGTATGGGAGGCTCTCAGGGGCCCTCATCCTCGAGGGCAGGGAGTTGGTCTGGCCACTGGTGGTGCTGCAATGGAGAGACTTTGGTTACTCCTCACAAATGCACTGGGTCACATTGCTGCATCTTCCCACAGCAGGGCTGTGGGGGATGGTGCTGAGGAGAGCTGTCTATGCTTCAAACACTCAAAGGGTTTCCAAAAAGTCCCAGAGGTGGAAGCAGACAGTGCTGCTGTCAGTCCTGATGGAAGGGGAGGACATCATGGGTGAGCTCACAGAGAACTCGGAGCTGCCATGGGCAGGACTTTGCTGAACCTTAAAGGAACCCACTGTTGGATTAACCTTGAACTATCTCTGGCAGCTCTGGTGGTGCCACCACATCCCACACCCAGCCCATGATCCCGATCCACTGGTGGAGCAGCAAAACCAGCCACAGCAGCTCCTTCTGTTCCCAGCTGGGCACTGAGCTCTGAGCTCCCCCAGCCCAAACTGGGATCACACTTTGCAAGGGGAGGAGGGGAGGATTCTGCAAACACAGGGCCCAACACCAGCACACCTGGCCAGGCCCCAGGTCCCACCTGCCAGGCTCCAGGAGCTCCCAAGGACTCACAGGGACCACAAGGTGCCAGCACCTTTCTCCCCTGCACACTGGCCAGACACCCATCAGTTCCTGCACACAGGACAGGAAGAGCACCCTGCCACAGGCACACAGGAGCAATATCTGTGCTCCTGAGGGCTTCCTTCTCCGGTACAGACCAGGCACAGGAGAAAGCAGGTCTCACTGAACCAGCAGCCCAAGAATATTGGCTGTCCAGCATCCCTCCTCCCAGGGTTGTACAGCAGCAAAGGCAGCTCCTGCCCAGCATCCAGGCAGGGCTGGGAGGAGGCTGCAATGTTCCTCTAAACAAACACTGCTTTGTTTGCAATCAAACTCTAATTCCCTACCTGTTTATGGCAGAGTTGGGCACACCCCAAACAAAAGCAGACTTAGACGTCTCCGACACCTCTGTGAAGGGAAACAGATGTTGTGGCTCAGAACCAAGAAACTCCAGCAACCACTGTCAGATCATTGGCTTAAATGGCTTCCCACTGCCAGAGGGCAAGGTTAGATTGGGAATCAGGAGGAAATTCTTCCCTGTGAGGGTGGGGAGGCCCTGGCACAGGTTGCTCAGAGAAGCTGTGGCTGCCCCATCCCTAAAAGTGTCCAAGGCCAGGTTGGACGGGGCTTAGAGTAACCTGGTGGAAGGTGTCCCTGCCCATGGCAGGGGGTGGCACTGGATGATCTTCAAGGTCCCTTCCAACCCAAACCATTCCAGGATTCTGCAATCAGGAATCTCTGTCATATTTCTACAAGTTCAAGAGGGAGGAAAAGTTGATCTATGACGGATGTGTTTGCTGCCATTTAACTGAGGAACTCAAAGAGTTATCTATCATGTTTCCATTGCCATCACTGCACATACGGTACAAAAGCTTATATGGGAAGAGGGGATGCTTGGAAATCCCTCTCCATGGCAGCATTTTAGACTGTTCTCCAGAGCAAGACAAGCCTGCTGGGTGGAGAGATCCATGTTTTTAGGAATGAGCATAACCAAGGTGTCCTACAAGGGAGACCTGAGTGAGCAGCATCCCTGGCCTTGTGGAGGACAGGACCAGAGAGGAGGCAGCAGTGTGGCACAGGTCCTCACCTGTTTCCCAGTCTTCATCACATGGAGGTGCCTGCCACGTGCTCCCATCCTTCACCTGCTCCTGTGGGGGCTCACAGAACCTACTCACTTGGGGAAGAGAGAAAACACAGTGACCTCCAATCCTTAAATCCATGGAAGCTCTGGCTCGAGCTGTGACACATCCCTTGGCTGCAGAGGAAGCCCTGCCCAAGGCAAACAGGTTGGGGACAGCCAGGGACTGAGCTGAAAGCCAGCAACTTTGAGTTTGCCTTTTTCAAGGAACAAGACTCTGCTCCCTGAAACTCTGAGCAGGAATGCTGGAGCAAAGGGGAAAGCTGCTGCCATGGATGCAGGCATCACTGCTGGCCTCAGTGCAGCTCTACAGAAGATAAAAAACTTCTGTCTGCTCCGTAGTGTGGCAGGAGTTACAGGGAGATCAGCTCTGAAGGAAGAAGGGCCCATCCTTGTGGTCATTAAAGCATCCCAGCTCCTGCCAGAGGCACTTCCTGCATGGCTTTTGGTAAAACCTTTCTATTCAACAAGCCTGGTAACAAAATATGTGCAAGGCCTACTCAGAGCATCTCAAGAAACTGCCTAAGAAACCCAAGCACATAAGATCAACTTTCTCCAAGGCTGGTGTGTCACACAGAACCACAGACAACAGTTTGAATCCCACTTTTTGGTTATGCCACAATTCATCCTTACACCAAGAAATCTCAGTCCCCAGGGTGAGCAGACACCTGGGAGCAGGGAGGTTCTCTCACCTACATCTTGCTCCACGAGGGCTTGGTCACTGCACTTCATGATGTGGTTGCTGAGGTCGCCCCGAGGCACCAGGTGACGAGCGTTGAACGGGCACGTGGCCAATTTCTTTGCAATTTCTGGGTTGCTCTGGGCAAGGGAAAAACCAAAATCATCTGCCACATCACTTGTAAATTCACTTATCTCTTGTTAATCCATAGGGCAAAAAAGCCACTGGGATATTTGTGGTGTTGCTTTAAAAAATATAAGCCAAAACAAGAAATCACAATGTCAGACACTCCCTAAAAACCCACGGGGATTGTTCTTCCAGACACAAGTCGCTGAGCCACCTTTGACTGAAGTGGAACAGACCCTCAGTCAACTCCCTCCAGTTTTCTGGTGATAGGGCTGCAAGGGGTTTAAAGCACAAATTTTAAAGCCATCAAGGGAGAGACATTAGGCAAAGGTAACCCATTCAGATATATTTTAAATAAGCAGGCACGAAGGCAGAGAAACTCCCTAAACCTTTCAGAACAGCCAAGGAGTTGGCAGTTTCCACCTGGATTCTCATTCAACAATTTCATCCCAAGCACCAGTTCTAGTGGCAGAGCTCAGCTGTCACTACAGCAAATTATCTCCTCCAAGTGATAGAGGGTTTACTGGGAAATTAGGCTGGAGAGCTGGGGGGGTTCACCTGGAGAAGAGAAGGCTCCAGGGACACCTGAGAGCCCCTTCCAGGGCCTAAAGGGGCTCCAGGAGAGCTGGGGAGGGACCTGGGACAAGGGATGGAAAGACAGGACACAGGGAGTGGCTTCCCACTGCCAGAGGGATGGGATATTGGGAAGAAATCCTTCCCTGTGAGGGTGGGGAGGCCCTGGCACAGGTTGCCCAGAAAAGCTGTGGCTGTCCCATCCCTGGAAGTGTCCAAGGCCAGGTTGGACAGGGCTTGGAGCAACCTGGGATAGAGGAAGGTGTCCCTGCCCATGGCTGGGGGTGGGACTGGATGAACTTCAAGGTTCCTTCCAACCCAAACCATTCCATGACTGCAGGATTCTAACACAGTTCAAGCCAAGAGGACCCAACTTGCTCTGTTGGATCTTGCAGTGTCCCCTTTGGGGCAGGGCTCTGGGGGGCTGAGGGAAGGGGAGGCATAAACTGGATTTTATGCATAAGGTATGCAAAGGAAGCTCAACAAACCTGTCCCAAGCCAAAGGGACAATCTCCACCCACATGTTTACCACTGTGGCATCTTCAGATGGATAACCCAAAGCCCTTCTCCTGCTAATTACTCAGACAACTGTGTCTGCTTGGTGATCACTGTCTCACCTCATCCTCCTAACCAGGAAACTTGTCAAAACTCTCTGCTCATCAGTCAGGACAAAACCAACCTGCATGAACATTTACTTGCCAACACTGTTCACCCAGCTCACATGCATGCTCTTGCCAAAATCTGCAGGGGCTCAACAAGAAAATTTCAGCCCTCCTGAATGCTTGGTACTTGCCACTTACCTCTGCCCCCACTTCCACTAGTTAATTAATATTTTTAAGGCTCCAGTTCCACCAAAATGATTTAATTGTACTGATACCAGGACACAGAGCCTACAACTGCACCTTAACTGGAAGGCATAGCACTGCTCTACTGGTTTAAAAACACACTGGCAAACTTAAAAAGGGACAATCAGGTTTCCAAAGGTCTCAGGAAAAACCCAAATCTCAGGAAGGTTTAAAGAAACCCAGCCATGAGGACAACAGAGAAGGAATGCTTCCTGTGAAATAATTTGTATTCAAATTCCAGATAAAAGACAAAGAGGGGAATAAACCTCTTCCAAATGTGCTGAGCCCAGGACATGCAGTTTGTGCCAGATGCCCATGAAATAGTTATCAGCAAAACAAAACTCCCCAGCCCTGCTGTGCAGCTGCATTCCCAGCACTGGAAGAATGAACTGCAACATCCCAGACCTCCTGCTCTGAGGAGCCAAGAGGGGTGCACAGAACTGTGACTGAGTCCTCTCTCCAACTGAAAGTGGAAAAATGTATCTGATCTCCCTGTGAGCTGTTGGAAGGGACCAGAATCTGAACTAACCATGAGCAATCTCTGTCTCCTTCCAACAGAGCCAGACTGGTCTTGTGTGAATTAATGGGTGCCTGAAGCTGTTACTAAACAAATCATGAAGTTCTATGAAATAAAGGCTGACCAAGGCTGTTTGTCAGGAACTGCAGCAGGAATGAGAACACACAGGGCACGTTTCCACGCCCAGAATCCCCAGCCCCTGCCCAGCTCACCTCCTTACACTTCACAAGGTGGTAGGGAAAGCGGCAGGCTCGGATCTGATGCTGTTTGACAAAGGGACACTGGATCAACCTCTCTGGGTCCAACAAATCTGATGGAACAGAACACAGGGAAAAGCACCTGGTTACAAAGACAGGAATCACTGACACAGTGAAGTGGGGAAAAACCCCACCCCACCACATCAGGGTTGTGGTCTGACAGAGTCAAACCAGTTGCTCTTAATTTGAAACCACTCATTAAGGCAGGCACCTGATTTGCATAAGCAAATTAATTAAATGCAGAGTTTTCATGACTGGAACATCAATCAAAACAGAGGAGAGTCAGTAGCAGAGTGTAACTTTTTCAGTTCCCTTATTAGGAAGGAAAGCACCCTAACTCCAAGGGAAAGCCAGGAGCACTTTTCCAGCTTCCTAGAGGAGGATCAGTGGGATCACAACACACCCACCAGCACCTTCAGGAGCTGAACCAATTTTTTTTTCATCAACAGCTCATTTTGCTGGAGGAAGAACAGTAGGCAACTAAGTTTCATTTCAGAGGAAGCCCAACATAGTTCACGTCACTCAGAATGAAGTTTTTAATATGTCATGTAATAATTTAGGAGCTGAGTTACTAAACCAGCAAAACTACTGAAGAATCAAAGCACTGAACAGTGAAGCAGTGTGACTCCACACATATTTTTTGTCTATAAAATATATTAAAATGTAAATATTAATAAAACCTCACACTTTCCATATTCTCAGTGAGGAGGAGGCAGCCAGGAGACATGGGATACAACACCAGGGAACCAGACCAGGCTGCTCCATTCTTTCTGGTCTGCCACTCTTGTTGCTCAGGCTTTTAGGACATTTAGGATTTGATTATGCAAGAGGTAAAACAGCTCTAAGTTTCCATGTGGGCTACCTCACCTGCATCAGCCCCTCAGGGCAGCTGAGAACCAAACTGCCTTTGCACTGGCCCAGCTGCCCCTGGAAGAGCAACCACAAGTGGCTTTGTCACCGAAAAATAAAATAAAACTCTCTAACACGGTAGTTTCAGTATTAGAAAGCAGGTGTTTATTTTGGCACAGGGTGCTTGGGGAATGCTCCTCCTAACACACCAGTTTATACCTAGGGAACTAATACATACTCATCAGAACTCATAGGTATGTGCTAAACGCTCCCGAGAATTCTTTTACATATTTAAATCACTTCTCGGAACTCAGTTACATTAGACTAGGGGCCTTTTGAGGGTCTTTGGGGAACATCCCCTTCCTCCAATTATCCTTTTCAGGTCACAAACCTCCTAAGCACAGTTTCGTCTCCTTGAACATATTCCAACTGTGTGTTCCGGCCACGAAACGCCGTCTTATCAGCCTTGCTCAAGGCACAGTCTTTGTTCCCACGGCTAAAATAGCCACTTGTACACATTAACCACTGAGATATATATATCTGATATCAGATATACATTATTTATCGCTGATAAGCAATCACAGGATTGAGCACTGTCTGTTAAAGGAATTCATAAGACTAAATCGGGCACAGTCTTTATTCCCGGGGCTAAAATATCACTGATAGATATATGATATCAGATATATATTAATCACTGCTAATCACAGGATTAAGTACTGCCTGTTAAAGTTAAAGGAATCCACAAGACTAAGCACTGTTTGTCACAGATTTTTCCAGGTTTCTCTCTGTGAACTGGCTCCACATCAGACGTGACCGAGCGAGTGAAGAGAAGGGGACACCCAAAGCCCAACGAGCCCCAGAACCGTCCGGGGCAGGTGAGCAGACACAATTTACAGGCGGCTGAAGGAGCAGAGGCACCACAGCGATGCCCCGTGCACTGGGGTGTTGTCCCTGTCCCGTGCCCACCGCATGGAAACACATCCACAGCAACCCCCGGCCCGCCCCGAGCCGCCCGCCCGGAGCCCCCGCCGGGAGCCGCTTCATGCCCCTTCCTGCCGGCCGGACCCCAGCGGCAGCGGGACTGGAACAACCGAGGGAGAGCCCGCGGGAGTGAATCCCGTCCCGGCTCGGGCACCGGGGTGGGGACAGCCCGCGCCCTCATGGCGCCTCTCCGGGCCCTGCCCGCAGCCGACTGCCCCCCGTGCGCCTCCCCCGGGCAGACCCTGAGCTCACCCATGTCCTCCTCCAGCTCCATGGCGGGTCCGTGTGCCCGCTCCCAGCCCTGCTCTGTATCCGCTCCCGCCGCTCCGCCCTCCCCTTCCCGCCAGGCCGCGGTTGCCGGGGCAACGCCGCCATAGGCCCGGCCCGGCCCGGCCCGCGGGAGTGCGGCGGTGTGGGCTGTGCAGCCCAAAGGCACGGGGGCGCGTAGAATGGGTCACGTTCAGGGTGCTGTTGTTTTTAACTGGACCAGCTGCAGGCTCAGGAGCTGGCTGTGAACTGACCCTGGACGTCCTTTGAGTCAAAATCATCAAGGTTGGAAGAGACCTTTAAGATCAGCCAGTCTGGCTGTCACCATCATCCGGTCGCTAGTGGTGTCCCCCAGGGATCAGTGTTGGGCCCAGTTCTGTTTAATGTCTTTATTGATGATTTAGATGAGGGGATGGAGTGAACCATCAGCAAATTTGCAGAAGACACCAAGCTGGGGGGGAGTGTTGATCTGCTGGAAGGCAGGAGGGCTCTGCAGAGGGACCTGCACAGGCTGGAGAGTTGGGCTGATTCCAAAGGGATGAGGTTCAACCAGGCCAAGTGCCGGGTCCTGCCCTTTGGCCACAACAACCCCCTGCAGCTCCAGGCTGGGACAGAGTGGCTGGAGAGCAGCCAGGCAGGAAGGGAGCTGGGAGTGGGGATGGACAGGAAGCTGAACAGGAGCCAGAGTGTGCCCAGGGGGACAAGAAAGCCAATGGATCCCGGCCTGGCTCAGGAACAGTGTGGCAGCAGGAGCAGGGAAGTGATTCTGCCCCTGGACTCAGGTGGTGAGGCCACCCCTGGAGTGCTGTGTCCAGTTCTGGGCCCCTCAGCTCAGGAAGGATATTGAGGTCCTGGAGCAGATCCAAAGAGCAACGAGGCTGGGGAAGGGACTGGAGCACAAGTGCTGTGAGGAAAGGCTGAGGGAGCTGGGGGTGTTGAGGCTGGAGAGGAGAAGGATCAAGGGAGACCTGACAGAAGGTTGTAGCCAGGTAGGGGTCAGTCTCTTCTCCCAGGAAGCAGCAGTAGGACAAGAGGGCTCAGTCTTAAGCTGTGCCAGGGGAGGTTTACGTTGGATATTAGGAAGAAATTCTTTACAGAAAGGGTAATCAGACACTGGAATGGGCTGCCCAGGGAAGTAGTGGATTCTCCGTCCCTGGAGGTTTTTAAGATGAGACTGGATGTGGCATCAGTGCCATGGGCTGGGAACCACAGTGGTTGTGGATCACGGGTTGGGCTTGATGATCTCAGAGTCCTTTCCAACCCAGCTGATTCTGTGATTCTATGATTCTATGAAAGTTGTCAGGAAGAAATTCAACCCTCCAACACTACCTCTGAAGTGTTAGTGAGCCAGACATTACTTTATTCTGGCCAGAGATAGGTAGTGAATCATCCCAGTCACATAGATCCCTTTCAAGACTTTTCACGTATTTATACATTTTAGCAAACAAATTAACTTTCATTGGTCCTAATTTGCACAATTCTCATAATTTAATTAGTATTCTATCATTCACTGGCTAATTTGGTCAACATTCTTTGGTCCTCTTATCATTCTTCCTTAGACAGTCTCCAACTCTCAGGGTATAATATCTTTGCTAATCCCCTCTGTACCTTCTGGTTACTCCAACACGTCTTTGAAGGCATTAGCATGGCTAGGCTTCGCGAACGAAGATTTGGGAAGGCTCTATCCACATTTGCTACAGGCACGCTGGTGGCTTATGAGGCCAATACGTGACAGACAAATCCGATTGCAAAAGGCACAGCAGAAAGACTCCTTAGATGGTGTATTCTGCAATACACGGTTCTTTCTGCGTTACCTTTTTTCCTCAAGGGTGATCCTGCGTGTGTTCTCGAAGGAGACAGCAGCGTTATAGATGGGGTGTCTCCAGGCCTCCCGATTGGAGGCCAGAGTAGACCAGTTATGGTGATCAATATGGCCAAGGCTGAGATGTTGTTTCAGGGAGTCCTTGTATCTTTCGTCTTTGAAGGACCATAAATTTAAGCCCCCAGATGTTCAATCCTCAACTCCCTCAAGCTTCATTTATTGGAGCTTATCAGTGCTAGTTCAGAGAAACTCAAAGCTTCGGTGATTTAAAGATCAAATTGACAAGAGTCTGTAAGAAAAAAAAAAAAAAAAAAAAAAAAAAAGAACCCAGCTAACTACTACCATTAATTAAAATTTTAGGAAAGCGATATCATTTCCAACACAACTGTCCACCCAGTACTGCCACTGTAACCCCTAAACCACATCAGCCAGACACCTCTTGAACACCTCCAGGAATGGTGACCCCACCACCTCCCTGGGCAACCTAATCATGAGCCTGACCTCCTGAACAGCGAAAACATGTTTTTTCTAATATCTAGTGTGAATCTGCCGTCTCAGCTTAAGGCCATTTGCCATGGTCCTCTCACTTGCCGGCACGGTAGAAGACTGAACCCCCTCACTACAATGGCCCGTCAGGGACGTCAGGGAGTTTTAGAGAGTGAGAAGGTCCTCCCTGAGCCTCCTCCTGTCCAGACTAAACAAAGCCAGCTCCCTTGGCTGCTCCTCATAAGACAATTTATTTTGGCTGGAGTGGAGTTGATTCCCTCAGTAATTTCCCAGTAGCTGGCACAGCGCTGTGCTTTGGTGTTGGTATGAGAAGGACATTGATAATGTTGCCCACAAAAATTGGACTTGTTGCACGCTGGATTTGTGCCAATAAGTACACACTCCAGAGAAACACTGATTATTTATTTCAGAGCTGCCTAAGCCTGGGTGCTCAGTGGTATCCCACAAATCAAGCACAGCAACTATCTGTTGCTAAAATGTATAAACTACTGTTTATACATTTTAGAAAACAAAGGAATTAGTGTTCATTGGCTACAAGTTACATAGTTCTCTTATTAATTACTGTTCTATCATTTATTGCTTAATGATTCTCTCATTCTTGTGCTTTTGGGTTGGTGGGTTTCTTGGGTAGGTGGTCAGGATCTGCCCCTGCCAGAATTACCCTTTACCCAGCTGGAGTTGATCTTAGCACAGTTGCTGAGTTGGCTTTATTCGTTTCTTCTTTATCTTGGGAGTTCTGCCAAATTTCTGTGGGATGTAAATCCTGCATTCTTTGTGCCCACTATCAGTGGTACGTCCTTCTTCCCAAGCTTTGTTAACCTCCCCCTAAGTCTGAGATCACTGAAGCATGTCCTGCCCTAAACCTTAACAAGGCAACTCTAACAACAAATAATTTTTCTAACACCCGGACATCACTTGGAGCTTGTTGACTTCCCTCTGTTTCTTGGATTAAATCTCCCTTCTTGTTGATTAGGCTCGAAAGTATTACAAAGATCAAACACTACAGAACATCCTCTCTTAAGAAAATTTTACATGTCCCACATTTTACAACAATAACACACTGATGGTTTGGGTGCTCAGTCGTGTTTATCCCGTGTCTGGGGCTGTTCTCGTTCCAGGAGCAGCAGAAGCCAAAGCAGGAGATAGGAGGGTTCAGCCTCCTGCAGAGGCTGCAACTCTGTGAGATCAGAGCAGCTCCTGCCTGCATGGGCAAGGAAAAAGACCTCAACAAGGTGTTAGAAGACCCAAGACCAAAAACTGGACCAAGAGAACGCGTCGAGGGGCAGGTGCACAAGCCATAAGGGCATCGTTGCCTGGGCATTTCTTTGTTCTGGGTGACAGAGGCACCAGCTCGAGCTGACCTGCTGTTGTACCACTCTGTTGAAGTATTTATTTTTGTAAATCTCGTGCCTGAGACTCTGCTTTGGGACACCAAGGATTGAGCTCATGATTCTGCCTCTACTTCACAGAATCACAGAATTGCTAAGGCGGGAAAAACCACCTCTGGGGCCGTTGAGTCCAACCATTCCCCCAGCACTGCCAAGTGCAGCACTAACCCACGTCCCCAAGTGCCACATCCACATATTCTTTGAACACTTCCAGGCATGGTGACTCCAGCACTGCTCTGGCCAGTCTGTTCCCGTGTTTGACCACCCTTTCAGTGAAGAAGTTTTCCCCAATATCCAACGTGAACCTCCTCTGGCACAACTTAAGGCCATTTTCACTCACCCTGTCCCTTGTTCCCTGGGGGCAGAGCCCGACCCCCCCTGGCTTCCCCCTCCTGTCAGGGAGTTGCAGAGCCATAAGGTCCCCCCTGAGCCTCCTTTTCTCCAGGCTGAGCCCCCCCAGCTCCCTCAGCTGCTCCTCGTCAGATTTGGGCTCTAGTTGTTTGTTCTCTCCTCCGTGACCAGCACAACCCACCTCTCCTCAAGGCAATGGTCCTTTCTGGGAACTGGCTTCAAATGAGGAGTTTCGTGGATGTGAACAAAAGGCACAGACCTTCAACCCCTGTTTTTCTGTAGGGGAAGAAGACACACTAGAAGGTTTCCCACTGTTTTAGTTAGAAGTTACAAACCAAGATTTTCCTGGCTGTGGCCAGAAATTTACCTAATTTAATTCCAGCAGATAACTGAAGACTTACCAGTGCTCTCTGATAGCAACAAGAACAGAATCAGCTTAAGGAACAAAAGGTATTTTATGCCTGATCCTTTCTCACCATGCTGGCACAGCAGCATCCAGAGCAGGAGGAATCCACTTTCATCCCCTCCTCAAGAACCTGTGGGGTTGCTGCTATTCCAGGGCCTAGCACAGCCCAAGTTTTTCAACCAGTCCCAGGAGTACCCCACAGCTGTTCCATACACAGTCCACTGAGGTCAAGAGGAAATTTATGGGCAGAGGATCAACAGAGCTGGGAGGAACAGGAGTAGTAGACACCTTCCTCACCTGCAACTGAGAGTGTCTGAAAAGGGCTCACTGCACTCTCCCATGGACTCCTGGTGGGATGTCTGCCAGATCCAAGGGAGAGAGATTCTCTACCCCTGGTGCTCCCTGAACTGAGGTCTCCACTCAGAGCAACCTTTTTTCCCTCTTTTAACTCAATAAACTTCTGCTGCATCCCAGCTCATGTCTCTGTGTCATCCTTTCCCCTGAAGACATTCTCCCAACATGCCCAGGGGAAATGGTGTTGTCTAGGAGTGGTTCTGGGAGGGGGTTGTTGGAAAAGGCTGTGCAGTGTTTGTCAACGTGGTTTTGCAGTGAGGCTACTCAGTCAGGAATTGTGTGTACTTGCTGGTTTCTAAAGGTCTCTGTCTATTTGGGGATGGAGTGACCAGTGAAGTTCAATGTCTAACGTCTGCTTTGTTGTGTTCACCTTGTCTTTTGCCTTGGTAAGCTCATCCCTGTAACACAAGCAGTCCGAGGGAGGAGGAATGAATGTGTTATTGACAAGACAGAGGGAATACCTTCCCAGGAAAGCCCAGGAGATCCTGTCCTAGCAATAGCATTGAGGTTCAGAGTTGTGGGGTGAGGTGGAAATAAAAGCACGAAAACAGGAACATACCACCACACCATCTTCAGGAAGACTTTGTCCCAAGAGCTGGAGGCCACAGGTTTGTGGTCTTTAAGTTGGTGCAGGGATGTTTTTTGCAATCCTTTGTTTCCCTCAATGAAGCATTCCACAGAGGTCCTCACACTGCCTGTGTCCTCACCGTGAAGCGGAGCCCGCCTTCCTCATTGCTGGCCTTACCCCAGTGGGCAGAGGCACAGGCTGGCCCAGGGTCCGTAGGATCATACCATAGTCAGGGTGGAAAGAACCTGCAGAGATCATTGGGCCCAACCCCTTGTTCCCAGCTCAGTCAGCCATGACTGAAGCCAGGTAACACCTGAGAAGTGAATTTAGTAAAGCAATGTAAGGATTAGAGAGAGTTAAGCACAAATGCAGGCTTTCAGCAAAGCACATAGAGCTCAGTATTAGGAAACAGCGGAGGCAATAAATCCACTAGGATACAGGACACTCTGACATGAGGGAACATGGGCATGAACGGAGAGAACTAGAAATGCTAGCACACACAAAAAAGGACATATGGAAGAAAACAAAGGGAGATAAGAAAAGGGACAAGCCAAGAAATCAGGAACTTCTGCCAGACACTGGAAATCCCTGCCAAATGCACAAGGAAACTACACAAATTAGGGATGGTTCAAAAGTTTAAGAGGATGATGATGGTGAGGAAAGCAGGTTCATGATGAAGAACGGAACTACCACCGAAGTGCTCCCCAAATTAAAGACCACACCTCTAACTCCGCCTCAACTCCGCCTGTTATGAATATTAAAAGCAGATGTTGCAATGTAATGAATATTCATAATATGTGATGTAATTGCTTGGCAAAAAGTGTATAAAAAGCTCAAATTGTAAGTTTCTCGTTGGAGTAGGCTGTCCAGGGCGACTTGGCTGCTCCCCGGCCGCTCCCCGGCCATAAATAAATACCTCCTGCTTATAGACTGAAAATTCTGTCTCTGAGCAGTTCTTCCGCGCCTTTTTTGGGGCACAAATTGGCATCATGACCATCCAAGGAGGGCAACTGCACAACCTTCCCAAGCAATTATTCCACTGCTTCATCCTCCCCTCGATGAAGAACATTTTCCATCTATTTAGCCCCAGCCTCTCATCTTTCAGTGTGAGTCCAGTGTCTCTAGTCCTCCAGCCATGCACTGGCACAGTGTTGAGCCTGGATCTGTCTTCTGAGGCACCTCACCAGAGCTACTCCAAATCTGCTCTCAAGTCTCCCACTAAAGCCTCCCCTTCACACTCAGCAAGTCTCATACCCTCAGCATGCCCTACTCAGGGAGGTGCTCCAGCTCCTCACAATCCTGGAAATCCTCTGCTGAACTCCCTCGGTCAAGGGCTTTCTTGTACTACATCTTTCCTTGTGTCAGAGCAGAGTCCTGGATGCCACGAGGTGAGTGCTGAGCAGAGCAGCATTGTGGCTCCCATGGATCTCCTGGTCACACTCCTGCTCACACAGCCCAGGGGGTTCAGGACAGTCCTCAGGGTCTGGGCACATTGGGCTTCTATTCTCATGGGGTCACTGCAGGAGCCCCTTTCCCTGGCCCTGCTCTGGGGCTGCTGCTTGCCAGGGGCTGAGGGAGGTGTCAGCACTCAGGGCTGGGGGGTCCCAGTCAGCTGCCATCAAGGGCTCTGGGTGGACACGTGTCACCCTGCCCAGCTGTGTCCTGCAGCAGTTCAGCCACTGCCCTTCCTCAGCTGCTCCTGGACAGCCCTTTGAGACACTCAGCCCATACCCGCTGCCTCTCTTCCTGCTCTGTGTCTCCCTGGGCTCTCTCTCCCCAAAAACATTCCCAGGAAGGCCTGGGCACAGACAGGGAATGAGCAGGGCAAGGGGGAGATGCACGGGCTGGGGGCCTGTGTGGGTGTGTTTAACCCAGTCAGCACTGAGCACCGAGCAGCTCTGCTCTAGATCCACTGTCCCAGTGGGATGGGGGAGAACTGGGAGAGCAAGAGAGTGGGATACCCTGGGTTTGAGATCAGGGGAAAACAAAAAAGAGGAAAAACAAAGGGACTGGAAGGTCATCACACACCGCCTTGCACCACCAGGTTGACGCTCAGGCATTCTCCAAAGGATGGATACTTTGGAAAGTCTTCCCACAGCCTTTCAGGTATCAATCATTGTGCCAATACGCATTGCACAAGCATCCCCAAAAATACTCTCAGAAACATCCCTGAGGATCCCCTCTCTCCCTGGACATCTTGGGAGAGCATCTGCAGGGGAAAGGATGACGCAGAGACATGAGCTGGGATGCAACAGAACTTTAATCAGTGAAAAGATGAAAATGAGGTCGGTCAGAGTGGGGAATCCAGCGCAGGAAGAACTAAGGGCAGACAACAGTGTGTGTCCATGGCTGTGGCAGAGATCCCATCTTCCTGATCCAGAGAGGGAACAGGGCCAGCAGGTCCTCCCCAGGCTGGTTCTGTGGGGCTGAGAGCCCACAGGAGCAGAAGGGAACAAGGACACAGGAGGGAAAGGAGAGAGTGGCAGAGGGCAGAGGCAGGGCTGGGCCGTGCTTGCCCAGAGCCCAGGCTGGCCCCGGCCTTCTGCAAGGGCTGCTGGGCTGGCTCAGCCGCTCTGGAAGCAGAAGCCGATGCTGCGTCCCCAGGGCGGTTCCATCCTGTGTGTCCCTGGGTTCCTTGCAGGGCCAGGGCCAGCAGCTTTAGCAGGGGAAGCAGCTCCTGCCACAGAGGCCACTGCCCAGGCCAGAGAGGCCAAAGCCCCCGGAGTTGATGGGCACTCCCTGAGAGCTGAGGATGCTGCCAACGGCAGCGGAGGTGGAGGATCCCACGGCGGTGTTCTGTGGGAAGGAGCTGAGGATGGGCCCGGGCAGGGTCACCACCACGGGGGAGGGCTGGATGGCCACGGTGGAGTCCTGGCACTGCCTGACACAGGGCTCATTGCAGCTGTTGGCCAGCGGGGTCGGGCCGCAGGGCTGGCAGGGCCGGCACGGGGTGTAGCAGGACATGTCTGGGGCTGGAGCTGCACCTGGGACAGAGGGCAGGGGAAGCAGAGCAGGGCAGATGGGTGAGGAGCAGCCTCTCACCCCACTACAGGGGACCAAAGGCATGAACTGGAGGCAAGACCTGGGGGCTGTGTAGAGAGACCCACAGGCTTCTCCTTTTCACCAGAAGAGCCCTGCCAAGAGCAACCAAGGGAGATCCTGGCCTGGCCCAGAGCTCTGGAGACTCCTCAGACAAGCCCCAGCCTTTCCCCACGTTGCACCTTCTGCCCCCTTCCCTCACCCATGGTCAGAACCTTCATGGAACAAAGAAGCTGGTAAGGACTGAGAAATCCCCTGGGAGGAGGAGAAGGATGAGAAAAAGCTTCAGACTCACCTTGTTCCCAAGGAGATGGAGGCAAATGGAGTGGATGAGAGAGCAAGGACAAGGGCCTGCTTTTATACTGCTCTTGCACTGCCCCAGGCCCACAGTCACTGCACAGGGCAGTAATTTTCCAACAGACTCATCTCCAAAGCAAACTATCCCACCTAATGCCACAGGCTGTGTTTTGGTTTCTGTCCCTGCTGCCCTTTCATTTCCTCGTTGCTGACAGGCCCATTGGGTCCTGGAGATTCCTTTCATGTCCTGGGATGAGAAGCCCAAGGACTTCTCGTGCAGGAACTAATCCGTAGGGGCAGCAATCCAGGCTGAGGTGGAGCCCTGTGGTGTTGGGTACTTCCTCACTCCCTGAGGACTCTGTTGGCTCTTGGGACAGCACTTTCTTCCTCCCCCCTCTCCTCCCCGCACCAGGCCCTTTGGCTGCACACTTTGCACCCTGAGCTGGATGAGGCACTGGCCCCTTTTGCAGTTCACGCTCTCAGTCCCGTGGCTGCTCCCAATCCTGGGCAGTGCTGCCAATGCAGGGCAGGCTGAGGGCAATGGCCTTTGGGGCTGCCTGGAGCTGTGGGTCTGGGCACAGCCCAGTGCTTGAAAATGGTTTTCCAGGGGCCTGGAATGGAGCTGCCCTTGCTGGAGGGGAATTTGCCCCCGCATGGGACACAAGCCTGCAGACAGCACACACTCCTGGCTTGGCCCAACACCAAAAGGCCAACCCCGAATCAAAGCGTGACTCGCTGGGGTAGGGAGAGTCCATCCCAGGAAATTTGCCTACTGAAGGCATTCCTTTGCCCTCCTGGGCTGCGTCCCAGCTGCCTCCATGTCTGCAGGGCAGGAAGAGCATCACTGCTTGGCGTAGTGTGAGAGCTGGGTTTGTACTCGGGGCCCTTCTGAGCACATCCCCTCCCTGAGCATCCCCAGGTCTGTTCAGGGTCCTGCCAGGCCTCACTCCCTGCGGAGCTGGGGGAAGTTTCCTTGGCTCCCTAGTGGTGCTGGATTTGGTTTCAGGCTGAGGAGGCCCTTGGGGAATGGCAGGGGAGGTGTGCTGAAGCCCTAATGCCAGGAGGAGAGGTACCACCTCTGAACCAGGGAAGGGTCCCAGCCTGTAGGGAGTCATTTTCTACAACTCTTTCTTTCCCTCCACAGCACACTGGTGAGGGCTCCTCACTGCAGCACAGTCTTCTTGGCCAGGCAGGGGAGGCCTGTGTGTCTGTCCCCTTCCAACATCCAAGTCTCTCCTCACAGCTGACCCTACCCCACGGTCAGATCTCCCAGGAGGAGGTCTGTGGGCTCTAAGATCTGTAGTTCTGTCCCCAGTCCATCCTGATGCAAGAGGTTCTTCCTTTCCAGGTGCAGGACAGTTCCCCCTGTCTGATCTTGTTCTACTGTGGGGAAGATCGAGATGTTCCAAGGACTTTCAGGAGCTTGAATTCCTGACAGAAAGTCCTGACAGTAAAGAATAAGAACAAGAAGCCTTTGAGTATCTCCAGCTTTCCTGTATCCCTTGCCCTCAGGGAAGGTGCCCTGTTCACCACTGGGCCTGCCTTTGGCCAAGCCCCCCTTTGCTGATGACCTGCCTGGAGAAGACCACCTTGTTGCCCTCCATGTGCTTGGCCTGATTCAATCAGTGCCAGGTGGGCTTTGGCTTTCCTAACCCCACCCTGGATTCTCAGCCTGTCAAACCTCCTCCCCAGAGCAAAGGGCACCAAGAGGAAGAGCCCTGGAACCACTGGCACAGCCTGGCTGCCTGGAGATGCCACAGCTCGTGATGTGTGGGGAGAGGTGAGAGAGAGGGAAGAGAGAGAAGCGAGTGACATGTCCCCAAAACACAGCTTTTGGATGCTCTTCTGAACGTGTGCAGTGAGGGACAGACCTGGGCCTCTTCCTGCAAAGGTATTGCAAAGAGTTGCTTTTCACTGCCCCAAGACAACACCTCTGGCACTAAGGAGACAACTTCTACCTCCACTGACAGGATTCTGCCTGGGATATCCTTTGGCTTCCCAGCACAGGACATGAAAGGATCCTGCAAAGCAGGACAGGAATGCCAGAAATGAGGAAATGAAATGGCAGCGTAGATGGAAACAAAACCTGAATCTGTGCCATTGCACTGGATAGTTTGCTTTGGAGATGAGTCTGTTGGAAAATTACTGCCCTGGTGCAGCGACTGTGGGCCTGGGGCAGTGCAGGAGCAGTATAAAAGCAGGCTCTTCTCCCTACTCCCACATTCCCTCCACTCGCCTCCATCTCCTTGGGAACAAGGTGAGTTTGAAGCCCATTCTCCATTTTCTCCTCTGGCATTTCACAGCACAGACCTGGCACTTTGTCCCGTGGGGGGTCTTGGAAGTGCTTGTGGTGGGGGAGGGAAAGAAGGAGGGTGTGTAACTGCTGAGTCTTGGCCAAAGTGTCCCCACAGCTCTGGGCTAGTTGGGGCCCTTGCTGGGCTTGAGCTGCTGCTGGGCTTTGTCTGAGGGGAAGAACTTGTGAGCCTCCATCAACAACCTTCAGCTCTCCTTTCCAACTCAGGCCTTGGGTCCCCTGTGGTGGGGTGAGAGGCTGCTCCTCACCCATCTACCCTGCTCTGCTTCCCCTGCCCTCTGTCCCAGGTGCAGCTGCAGCCCCAGACATGTCCTGCTACACCCCGTGCCTGCCCTGCCAGCCCTGCGGCCCGACCCCGCTGGCCAACAGCTGCAATGAGCCCTGTGTCAGGCAGTGCCAGGACTCCAATGTCTTCATCCAGCCCTCCCCCGTGGTGGTGACCCTGCCCGGGCCCATCCTCAGCTCCTTCCCACAGAACACCGCCGTGGGATCCTCCACCTCCGCTGCCGTTGGCAGCATCCTCAGCTCTCAGGGAGTGCCCATCAACTCCGGGGGCTTTGGCCTCTCTGGCCTGGGCAGTGGCCTCTGTGGCAGGAGCTGCTTCCCCTGCTAAAGCTGCTGGCCCTGGCCCTGGCAAGGAACCCAGGGACACACAGGATGGAACCGCCCTGGGGACGCAGCATCGGCTTCTGCTTCCAGAGCGGCTGAGCCAGCCCAGCAGCCCTTGCAGAAGGAAAGGTCCAGCCTGGGCTCTGGGCAAGCACGGCCCAGCCCTGCCTCTGCCCTCTGCCACTCTCTCCTTTCCCTCCTGTGTCCTTGTTCCCTTGTGCTCCTGTGGGCTCTCAGCCCCACAGAACCAGCCTGGGGAGGACCTGCTGGCCCTGTTCCCTCTCTGGATCAGTAAGGTGGACACCTGGTTTGGTGTCCACTGCAATGACTCTGGTGTTGTTTTTCTCCGGTGCTCCTTGTACTGGGACCTCTACTTGGATCATAATAATTTTCCTGGTTTGACTTATTAAAGATTTTCTGCATTGCAATCCATGTCTTTGTCCCATCATTTCACCTTCAAATCCTCTCCTGACTTGCCCAGAAAGAGACTCGCTGCTTGGGGCTGGTTTTGGGAGGGGCTTGTTGGGGTTGGTTGTGCTCAGCCTCTGTTGGGTGTTAATACAGGCTGACTTTGAGTATTCTTAGTCACGTGTTAGGTAACTCTGTTTTTTAACCTTCTCTACTTATCTGGGGCTGGAGAGCATGACAAGATGCTCTCCAGTGACTATAACTATGAGAAAAATGATTTTCAGTCTCCCCCTAAAGATTTTTTTTACCTACACTCAGGAAGTTCCAGGTCCTCAGGCTCCCCCAGGAAGGCCTGGGCACAGACAGGGAATGAGCAGGGCAAGGGGGAGATGCACGGGCTGGGGGCCTGTGTGGGTGTGTTTAACCCAGTCAGCACTGAGCACCGAGCAGCTCTGCTCTAGATCCACTGTCCCAGTGGGATGGGGGAGAACTGGGAGAGCAGGAGAGTGAGATACCCTGGGTCAAAGTTCAGGACAGTTTAAGAAGGAATGGGCCAAAAGAGAAAAAAAAAAAGTGGTTCAAAGGCAATCCCCCTGTACCTGGCACCAGCAGCCCAGTGCCCAGGCAGTGTCCAAGAACGGCTCCATTGGGAAAATGCCCAGAGCTTTATTGCTGAGCGTGGTGTGATATGTGCCAAGGGCAGTGGTGGAGTCACCGTCCCTGGAGGGACTTAAAAGATGTGTAAATGGGACACCTGGGGGTAGGGTCTAGTGTTGAGCTTGGCAGTGCTGGGTTAATGGTTGGACTCCTTGATCTTAGAGAGATTCTCCAACATAAAGATTCTGTGATTCTGTGATTCCATGACAGAGAATAGCCCTTTGGTCAGCTGAGGTCATCTGTCCTGTCTGCTCTGAAGACAGTGACCTCAATCCCAGCCAGTGCCAGCATATCCTGGTTCCCTCATTCCCTCTCCTGTTGTCCTCTGAAGCCATTTTGTGCTTGAGCCCCTCCCACAGAGCGATGGCAGCCGGGGGAAGAGGAACAGATGCTTCTCCAATCTTTTCCTTTCTGCTCCTGTGGTCTTCCCAGGAGTTTATTGGGCTTCTGTTCTCCCAAGGCCTTCCAGAGCCCAGGCTTCTCAACCAATGTCACAGTGCCCACATGTCCCTTCTACAGCACAAGCACTGAGGCCAAGGGGCATTTTGGCTGAATGTGCGGCGTTTCGGGTCAAGGGATCAAGGTCTGAGTGGAAACCAGTGATGACTGGTGTCCTCCAGGGGTCCATCCTGGAACCAATGCTGTTTGGTATGTTCACCCATGACATAGATAGTGGGACTGGGTGCACCCTCATAGCCCTTTGTGATATGGTTTATTTGGCTTAGGGGTTTTGGGTCAAGGGATGGACATGGTGATCTTGAAGGTTTTTTCCAACCTTAATGATCCTGTGATTCTCAGCAATGACCCCAAGGTGAGGGGAGCAATAGCTACACCTGAGGAAAGGGTTCCAATCCAGAGGGATGTTGGGAGACTAGAGGAATGATCCCAGGTGGAACTTGGAAACTTCAACAAGTCCAAGGTCCTGCAACTACTTTGAGACAATCCTCAATATCAACAGAGACAGCGGGGTGGATGGATGGAGAGCTGTCCTGCAGAGAAGGGCTGCAAAAATGATCACACAGATAAACCAACCCTGCTATGGAGAAAGGCTGAAGGAGCTGAGGCTTTTAAGGCAGGAGAAGAGCAGCTTTGGGAAGATCTTAATGTGGCCTTCCAATATGTCAAGGGGGTGTATAAGGAAGTTGGAGAGAGACATTAATTATATGGAGACCTGTAGCGACAGGACAAGCAACAATGGTTTTAAACTGAAATGGGGGAGATGGAATTGAGATATCCCTGCCCATGGCAGGAGGGTTGGATTGGATGGCCTTTAATGGTCTCTGCCAACAAAAATCAATCGATGATTCCATGATCCCGTGGGTGTGTGAGAAGGCAGCCCCTGCACTGTGTGGTTCTCTTTGAGAATCCTGTGATTAGGGAAGGTTCTCCTGCAGTCTGAGGAGAAGCTGGTGCCTGTGTCGGGTCAGTAAGACATTCAATGCTGAGAACTTGTGTCATGGAGCGGAGCTTAGGGAGGAAAAGGAAAAGATGTGCAAACATCTGGTTGTCAGTGGACAGTGGAGGGTAATTGTGTCCTGAGGCAAAGAGGCAGAAATTCAGACACCAGAGGGTCACTCCACACAGGACGGAGCTCACTCGGGGCCAGCCTGACAAATGGTGCAAAACCATCCCCAAGAAGCTCCTCCCAGAAACCCCCTGGGGCAACATCTGTGCCTTGGGAGAGTGTCTGCAGGGGAAAGGATGACACGGAGGCGTGGGCTGGGATGCAGCAGAATTTAATGAGTCAAGGGAGGGAAGAGAGGTGGATCCAAGGGGAGAGCCCAGAGCAGGGAGCAGCTTTAGCAGGGGAAGCAGCTCCTGCCACAGAGGCCACTGCCCAGGCCAGAGAGGCCAAAGCCCCCGGAGTTGATGGGCACTCCCTGAGAGCTGAGGATGCTGCCAACGGCAGCGGAGGTGGAGGATCCCACGGCGGTGTTCTGTGGGAAGGAGCTGAGGATGGGCCCGGGCAGGGTCACCACCACGGGGGAGGGCTGGATGACCACGGTGGAGTCCTGGCACTGCCTGACACAGGGCTCATTGCAGCTGTTGGCCAGCGGGGTCGGGCCGCAGGGCTGGCAGGGCAGGCATGGGGTGTAGCAGGACATGTCTGGGGCTGGAGCTGCACCTGGGACAGAGGGTGGGGGAGGTAGAGCAGGGTAGATGGGTGAGAAGCAGCCTGTCACCCCACCATTAGATTGACCCTCTTTTGCTCAACCCAAAAGACTCCTCAAGTCATGATGAAGTCCATGGAGATCCCCACCTAACCGGTAGCTCAAGAGACACCTCACACAAACCCCAGTCTCTCCCTATGCCACATCTTCTGCCTCCTTCCCTCACCCACGGTAAGAAGTCCCAGTACCCAGACAGTGATAATGTACGTCCTTTGAAATGCAGCACAAGGACCAAGAGGAGGAGAAAGCTCTCCAAACATACCTTACTGCCAAGGAGATGGAGTTGAGAGGAGTGGATGAGAGTGAGGACAAGGGCCTGCTTTTATACTTCCCCTGCACTGCCCCAGGCCCACAGTCACTGCACAGGGCAGTAATTTTCCAACAGACTCACCTCCAAAGCAAAATATCCCACCTAATGCCACAGGGTGTGTTTTGGCTTCTGTCAATGTTTCCATTTAATTTCCTCATTTCTGACATTTCCACCGGGTGATGGAGATTCCTTTTATGTAGTGGTACAAGAAACTCAAGGATTTTTGTTGCAGGAACATGAGCAATGGTTGGACTCAATGATCTTAAGAGTCTTTTCCAGTCATATTTTGTCTCTGATTCAATAATTCAATGATTATGGGCAGGAATCAAGTGTCAAGTAGAACCCTGTGCTGTTGGGTACCTCCACACTACCTTGGATCTAAGGACAGTGCCTTCTTCCTCCCTCTCTCCTCACCCCACAATGCACTTTAGTTGAAGGCTTTGCACCCTGACCTGGATGACACACAAGCACAGGACACTTTTCCAATACACACTGTCAGTCCTGAGACACTCCTGACCTTTGGAAGTGCTGCCAAGCACCGATTTTCTCATGGAGCTGCCCTTGCTGGGGGGGGAATTTGCCCCCGCATGGGACACAAGCCTGCAGACAGCACACACTCCTGGCTTGGCCCAACACCAAAAGGCCAACCCCGAATCAAAGCGTGACTCGCCAGGGGTAGGGAGAGTCCATCCCAGAAAATTTGCCTACTGAAGGCATTCCTTTGCCCTCCTGGGCTGCGTCCCAGCTGCCTCCATGTCTGCAGGGCAGGAAGAGCATCACTGCTTGGTGTAGTGTGAGAACTGGGTTTGTACCCGGGGCCCTTCTGGGCACGTCCCCTCCCTGAGCATCCCCAGGCACGTGGAACTGCAGTTTCCCTGCAGCTCTCACGTGTTGGGGACATGAAGAAGGTTTTCCTGCCTGTCCAGTGGTGCTGGGTTGGGTTGTTCTCTAGGCTGAGGAAGCTTCTGGGTTGTGGGAAAGGGCCAATGCCCAGCAGAAGACACAGAGACTGGGAGCCAGGGATGAGTCCCAGCCAGTGGGCAGGTGCTTTGAAAAACCCCTTCTTTCATCTCCTGAGCATCCAGGAGAACTCCCCTCCACAGCCTGGTCTCTTTGACCAGAAAGATGAGGCCTCTGTGTCCATTTCCTCCCCCCCATCAGTGTCTCCTCTCGTTTTCCTTTGTTTTGCCTGGACCTTTCATGAACTTTGACCTCTTGAAGTGCCAAAGGTGCTGCCGGTTTTTCGACCTTTTTTCTGCTTCACGGGTACCTCCTTAGCATCCCCTTTACCAGATTCCCATCTCCACTGGATAGGACTCAGGAGAGTCTGGCTCTGAGTTCTGGACTCCCTTCCAGCAGCTCTTTTTCCCATTCCTGGGAAGTGTGCCCAGATGCCCTCTCTCCTCCAGAGGGACAAGCCCACCTCGGGCAGCCCCTCCTGTCCCAGGGGCTCCAGTCACTCCCTCTGAGGCCCTTTGCTGGACTGGTACCAGTATGTCTGTGCCTCTCTCACACCGGGCAGCTGCTCTTGGTGGCAGCTGTTTCCTGAGCACCGTGGAGCAGAGAAGAGGGA